GTCCTAGAGGGGGTCTTGGTGGGGGTCTTGGTGGGGGGTCCTAGAGGGGGTTTTGGTGGGGGTCCTAGAGGGGGTTTTGGTGGGGGTCCTAGAGGGGGTCTTGGTGGGGGGTCCTAGAGGGGGTTTTGGTGGGGGTCCTTTGAGGGGGTCTTGGTGGGGGGTCCTAGAGGGGGTTCTGGTGGGGGTCCTAGAGGGGGTCTTGGTGGGGGGTCCTAGAGGGGTCTTGGTGGGGGTCCTAGAGGGGTCTTGGTGGGGGTCCTAGAGGGGTCTTGGTGGGGGTCCTAGAGGGGGTCTTGGTGGGGGTCCTAGAGGGGGTCTTGGTGGGGGTCCTAGAGGGGGTCTTGGTGGGGGGTCCTAGAGGGGGTCTTGGTGGGGGGTCCTAGAGGGGTCTTGGTGGGGGTCCTAGAGGGGTCTTGGTGGGGGTCCTAGAGGGGTCTTGGTGGGGGTCCTAGAGGGGGTCTTGGTGGGGGTCCTAGAGGGGGTCTTGGTGGGGGTCCTAGAGGGGGTCTTGGTGGGGGGTCCTAGAGGGGGTCTTGGTGGGGGTCTTGGTGGGGGGTCCTAGAGGGGGTTCTGGTGGGGGTCCTAGAGGGGGTCTTGGTGGGGGGTCCTAGAGGGGTCTTGGTGGGGGTCCTAGAGGGGTCTTGGTGGGGGTCCTAGAGGGGTCTTGGTGGGGGTCCTAGAGGGGGTCTTGGTGGGGGTCCTAGAGGGGGTCTTGGTGGGGGTCCTAGAGGGGGTCTTGGTGGGGGGTCCTAGAGGGGGTCTTGGTGGGGGGTCCTAGAGGGGTCTTGGTGGGGGTCCTAGAGGGGTCTTGGTGGGGGTCCTAGAGGGGTCTTGGTGGGGGTCCTAGAGGGGGTCTTGGTGGGGGTCCTAGAGGGGGTCTTGGTGGGGGTCCTAGAGGGGGTCTTGGTGGGGGGTCCTAGAGGGGGTCTTGGTGGGGGTCTTGGTGGGGGTCCTAGAGGGGGTCTTGGTGGGGGTCCTAGAGGGGGTCCTAGAGGGGGTCTTGGTGGGGGTCCTAGAGGGGGTCTTGGTGGGGGTCCTAGAGGGCGTCTTGGTGGGGGTCCTAGAGGGGGTCTTGGTGGGGATCCTAGAGGGGGTCCTAGAGGGGGTCTTGGTGGGGGTCCTAGAGGGGGTCTTGGTGGGGGTCCTAGAGGGGGTCTTGGTGGGGGTCCGAGAGGGGGTCTTGGTGGGGGTCCTAGAGGGGTGTTCGTGGGGGTCTTGGTGGGGGTCCTAGAGGGGGTCCTAGAGGGGGTCTTGGTGGGGGTCTTGGTGGGGGGTCCTAGAGGGGGTCTTGGTGGGGGTCTTGGTGGGGGTCCTAGAGGGGGTCCTAGAGGGGGTCTTGGTGGGGGGTCCTAGAGGGGGTCTTGGTGGGGGTCCTAGAGGCGGTCTTCGTGGGGGTCCCAGGCGCATGGCAGGCGCCTGGGAATTTCGAGATAGAGGGAGGGAGAGAGAGAGGTACGCTACTTGCGGGTTGGGAGGAGAGCGCTGGAGAAGCGCTCAGAGATGTGAATGGGGAATAGGAGTTGGTGATGGGGTCCCACTGAGGGTCTCTGCGAGGGACGTCCCGCTGTGTAATGATGGGGTCCCACTGGGGGTCCCTGCGAGGGACGTCCCGCTGTGTAATGATGGGGTCCCACTGGGGGTCTCTGTGAGGGACGTCCCGCTGTGTAATGATGGGGTCCCACTGGGGGTCTCTGTGAGGGACGTCCCACTGTTTAATGATGGGGTCCCACTGGGGGTCTCTGTGAGGGACGTCCCGCTGTGTAATGATGGGGTCCCACTGGGGGTCTCTGCGAGGGACGTCCCGCTGTGTAATGATGGGGTTCCACTGGGGTCCCTGTGAGGGACGTCCTGCTGTGTAATGATGGGGTCCCACTGGGGGTCTCTGTGAGGGACGTTCCGCTGTGGAATGATGGGGTCCCACTGGGGTCCCTGTGAGGGACGTCCCGCTGTGTAATGATGGGGTCCCACTGGGGGTCCCTGTGAGGGACGTCCCGCTGTGTAATAATGGGGTCTCACTGGGGTCCCTGTGAGGGACGTCCCGCTGTGTAATGATTGGGTCCCACTGGGGTCCCTGAGGGACGTCCCGCTGTGTAATGATGGGGTCCCACTGGGGGTCTCTGTGAGGGACGTCCCGCTGTTTAATGATGGGGTCCCACTGGGGGTCCCTGTGAGGGACGTCCTGCTGTGTAATGATGGGGTCCCACTGGGGGTCCCTGTGAGGGACGTCCTGCTGTGTAATGATGGGGTCCCACTGGGGTCCCTGCGAGGGATGTCCCGCTGTTTAATTATGGGGTCCCACTGGGGTCCCTGTGAGGGACGTCCTGCTGTGTAATGATGGGGTCCCACTGGGGGTCCCTGTGAGGGACGTCCCACTGTTTAATGATGGGGTCCCACTGGGGGTCCCTGTGAGGGACGTCCTGCTGTGTAATGATGGGGTCCCACTGGGGGTCCCTGTGAGGGACGTCCCGCTGTTTAATGATGGGGTCCCACTGGGGTCCCTGCGAGGGACGTCCTGCTGTGTAATGATGGGGTCCCACTGAGGGTCTCTGAGGGATGTCCCGCTGTGTAATGATGGGGTCCCACTGGGGGTCTCTGTGAGGGACGTCCCGCTGTGTAATGATGGGGTCCCACTGGGGTCCCTGCGAGGGACGTCCCGCTGTGTAATGATGGGGTCCCACTGGGGTCCCTGTGAGCAACGCCTTCGCGTAACGTGGCGGGGTCTCAGAGCGCTTTAAAAATCTCATCTTGCGACATCAATGCATGAATTTCATCTTCTCTCACCGCATTTGAAAGGGACACCCCCTCGCTCCGTCCCCCCCCCTCTCAGTGGAAGCTGTCCCTGCGTGGCACAACGTTGGCCCGGCACTTCGTCTGCCAGTAGGGGGCCGTCCATAAATGACGTCACGCAATTTTGGACGATTTTTTTTATCCCCCTCAACCCTCACCCTTCGTCACACGGCGTCAGAAAGTCAGACCCCCCCCCCCCTCAAATGACGTCACAAAGCTCTGCCCCCCCCCCCCAAAAAAACATACATGCCTCAAATCGCTTTAAACTATTGTTGTCATTGTAGTGCGTATTTAATGAGGCGCTGCACTCTGATGTTGTAGGAGAAAACATTTATTAACAAGTCTATTTAATTAAGCAGAACGTGTTGTCTATATTTATTTATAAAGTTGCGCAATTTTTACGTGACGTCACATTTCTCAAACCCCGCCCCCACTCGTCACACATCGTCACAAATGTCTGACCCCGCCTTCCACCCCTCTAGGTGCGTGACGTCATTTATGGACGGCCCGCAACGTTTGGCGTCATGTGACCTTTGACGTCCACCGCGCGCGCAGCAGGCGGCGAGTAGCACGTGCAGCGCTTATTGCGATCACGACGACGACGACGACTCGGGTACAGTGATGGGTGGGACGTGTGGTGTGGCCCGGTGCTGGATGGGTGGTGTGTGCCCCCCCCACACTCACTCCCACTCCCCTGGGGGGGGGCACGCTAGGGGTAAGCAACGTGGAGGCAGCCCATGGAGAAGAGCCAAGGGGGGGTGGGTGGGGGTGCAGAGGAAGCGACCGACGGCTCCCAGCTCCCTGCACTGGGGGCGGCGGGGACCGCGCCTAGAACCCACCAGGACATCCGATTGGGCGTCAGGGATTAGCGCAGCGCCTTAACCCCCCACCACTACCCCCCCCTTCCCCCCACCGCACAGACTCCTCGCACGGAGAGGGACAGACTCACACAGAGAGTCAGAGACTCACACAGAGAGACAGACTCACACAGACTCACAGAGAGCGTCAGAGACTCACACAGAGACACAGACTGCTCGCATAGAGAGAGAGACTCACACAGACTCACAGAGAGCGCCACAGACTCACACAGAGAGACACACTGCTCGCATAGAGAGAGACAGACTCACACAGACTCACAGAGAGTGAGTCAGAGACTCACACAGAGAGGCACAGACTCCTCGCACGGAGAGCCACAGACCCAGAGAGTGACACAGACTCCTCGCATAGAGAGAGACAGACTCACACAGAGAGACACAGACTCACACAGAGAGACACAGACTCACACAGACTCACACAGAGAGACACAGACTCACACAGAGAGACACAGACTCAGACTCACACAGACTCACACAGAGACACAGACTCACACAGAGAGACACAGACTCGCACAGACTCACAGAGAGCCACAGACTCACACAGAGAGACACAGACTCACACAGAGAGACACAGACTCACACAGACTCACACAGAGAGACACAGACTCACACAGAGAGCCATAGACTCACACAGAGAGACATAGACTCACACAGACTCACACAGAGAGACACAGACTCACACAGCGAGCCATAGACTCACACAGAGAGACACAGACTCACACAGACTCACACAGAGAGACACGGACTCACACAAAGAGACAGACTCACACAGAGAGCCACACTCACACAGAGAGACACAGACTCACACAGAGAGAGACAGACTCGCACAGAGAGACACAGACTCACACAGAGAGACACAGACTCGCACAAGAGAGACACAGACTCACACAAGAGAGACACAGACTCACACAGAGAGACACAGACTCACACAGAGAGCCACAGACTCACACAAGAGAGACACAGACTCACAAGAGAGACACAGACTCACACAGAGAGACACAGACTCACACAGAGAGACACAGACTCACACAGAGAGACACAGACTCACACAGAGAGACACAGACTCACACAGACTTACACAGAGAGACACAGAGACACAGACTCACACAGAGAGACACAGACTCACACAAGAGAGACACAGACTCACACAGACTTACACAGAGAGACACAGACTCACACAGAGAGACACAGAGAGACACAGACTCACACAGAGAGACACAGACTCACACAAGAGAGACACAGACTCACACAGAGATACACAGACTCACACAAGAGAGACACAGACTCACACAAGAGAGACACAGACTCACACAGAGAGACACAGACTCACACAGAGAGACACAGACTCACACAAGAGAGACACAGACTCACACAGAGAGACACAGACTCACACAGAGAGACACAGACTCACACAAGAGAGACACAGACTCACACCCAAACCCAGAGCTTGAACCTGGAGGGCTCAACCCGTGTTGGCTTAGTGTCTCTGACACGGCCATTGTGACCCCCCCCCCGCCCTCTGTGATAAGGCCACGTGATCGAGGGCCCCCCCCTCCCATAGGGACCCTGCAGGAGACATCCCGACGAGAGAGAGGGGGGAGTTGGGGGGGTCCCATGATGGAGAGGATTTGTCTCCGGCTCGGCGTCATTGGCCTGAGATCGCTGCGAGCGAGGAGGAATCCCAACTCGGGTCCCTGCGGGGGGTCCCCGTGAGGGGTCCCTGCGGGGGGTCCCTGCGGGGGGTCCCTGCGGGGGGTCCCCGCGGGGGGTCCCTGCGGGGGTCCCCGTGAGGGACGTCACCAGTCGAGGGAGTCGCGGCTCCTGGAGTAGCGGGGGCTGTTGTCGGAGTAGAACTGCGAGTACCAGCGGCGGTGGCGTGAGATGAGCGAGTCCTCCTTGACCAGCAAGGGCCTGGACACGTAACGCTTGTTGTTCCAGATCATCAGGTCGCGCTCGAACTACGCACGGGGAGTGGGGGGGGGCACGGGAGGGGGGTGAGGGGGGGGGCACGGGAGGGGGGTGAGAGGGGGGCACGGGAGGGGGGTGAGGTGGGGCACGAGAGGGGGGTGTGAGGGGGGCACGGGAGGGGGGTGAGGGGGGGCACGAGAGGGGGGTGAGGGGGGGGGCACGGGAGGGGGGTGAGGGGGGGCACGAGAGGGGGGTGAGGGGGGGCACGGGAGGGGAGTGGGGGCACGAGAGGGGAGTGGCGGGGGCACGAGAGGGGAGTGGGGGAGGGGGGGCACGGGAGGGGAGTGGGGGAGGGGGGGCACGAGAGGGGAGTGGGGGGGGCACGAGAGGGGAGTGGGGGGGGCACGAGAGGGGAGTGGGGGGGGCACGGGAGGGGAGTGGGGGAGGGGGGGCACGAGAGGGGGATGAGGGGGGCGGGGTACAGACAGACACGCGGCAGATGAAGAGCCAAGCCACAAGGCGAGAACGATCCCCACCCACCACCCCCCACCACCGCCCCCCCCCCCCCACCGTGAACCCGAATGACCTCTCCCCCGCCCCCCCGCCCCCCCACGGCACCTGCACGCACTCCAGGCGGAGCAGCATCTTGGGCACGAGTGCGGGCACGCGCCGAGCGTAGTAGATGGTGTGGGTCACCGTCTGCAGCAGCGGCTCCAGTGGTGTCACGCAGTGCAGGATGACTCCGCGGCCCAGCAGCTTGTGATCGAAGTTCATGAACACGAGGCCCGGTCCCACCTGCGGCGGCAGGGACGTCACCGGACGCCTTCGTCTCCCCGGCGTGCTCGTTGATGAGGCCTAGTCGAGCTAGGCGAGGCCCCGGGGGACCGTCTCGTCACTCGCCTGTCACTCACCTGTCACCTGTCACTCACCTGTCACTCACCTGTCACCCGTCACTCACCTGTCACTCACCTGTCACCTGTCACTCACCCGTCACTCACCTGTCACCTGTCACTCACCTGTCACTCACCTGTCACTCACCCTTCTCCCTCGCCACTCACCTGTCACCTGTCACTCACCCTTCTCCCTCGCCACTCACCTGTCACTCACCTGTCACCTGTCACTCACCTGTCACTCACCCTTCTCCCTCGCCACTCACCTGTCACTCACCTGTCACTCACCTGTCACTCACCTGTCACCTGTCACTCACCCTTCTCACCTGTCACTCACCTGTCACTCACCTGTCACCTGTCACTCACCCTTCTCACCTGTCACTCACCTGTCACCTGTCACTCACCTGTCACTCACCTGTCACTCACCCTTCTCACCTGTCACCCACCTGTCACTCACCTGTCACTCAGCCTTCTCACCTGTCACCCACCCTTCTCACCCTTCTCACCTGTCACTCACCTGTCACTCACCCTTCTCACCTGCCACTCACCTGTCACTCACCTGTCACTCAGCCTTCTCACCTGTCACCCACCCTTCTCACCCTTCTCACCTGTCACTCACCTATCACTCACCTGTCACTCACCCTTCTCCCTCGCCACTCACCTGTCACTCAGCCTTCTCCTGTCACTCACCTGTCACTCACCTGTCACCTGTCACTCACCTGTCACCCGTCACTCACCTGTCACGGACCTGTCACTCACCCTTCTCCCTCGCCACTCACCTGTCACTCACCTGTCACTCACCCTTCTCCCTCGTCACTCACCTGTCACTCACCTGTCACTCACCTGTCACCCACCTGTCACTCACCCTTCTCCACTCGCCACTCACCTGTCACTCACCTGTCACTCACCTGTCACTCACCTGTCACCTGTCACTCACCTGTCACCCGTCACTCACCTGTCACGGACCTGTCACTCACCCTTCTCCCTCGCCACTCACCTGTCACTCACCTGTCACTCACCCTTCTCCCTCGTCACTCACCTGTCACTCACCTGTCACTCACCTGTCACCCACCTGTCACTCACCCTTCTCCACTCGCCACTCACCTGTCACTCACCTGTCACTCACCTGTCACCTGTCACTCACCCTTCTCACCTGTCACTCACCCTTTTCACCTGTCACTCACCTATCACCTGTCACCTGTCACTCACCCTTCTCACCTGTCACCTGTCACTCACCTGTCACTCACCCTTCTCACCTGTCACTCACCTGTCACTCACCTGTCACTCACCCTTCTCACCTGTCACTCACCTGTCACCTGTCACTCACCCTTCTCACCTGTCACTCAGCCTTCTCACCTGTCACTCACCTGGCGAGCGACGACGTCAATGGTGGCGAGTGGCAGCTCGTGTCCCCAGACGCTGACGCGGTGGTGCAGCAGCATGCGGGAGCAGTGCAGGTTCGGCTCCACCTCGGGGCTCCACTGCACCTGCGGGGGCAGGGGGACGTAGAGGGGGGGCAGCGTGACCCCGGGGTCGTCGTCGTCGTCATCGTTGTCGTCATCATCGTCGTCGTCGTCATCATCGTCGTCATCGTCGTCATCGTCGTCATCGTCGTTGTTGTCGTCATCATCGTCGTCATCGTCATCATCGTCATCGTTGGTCCTCAGTGAGGATGTGACGTCACCCGCGTGCATCCGATGTCAGCAGCCTCGGCACGGCTCGGCTCGGTTGTGAAGTGGAAAAACCGCGGGCGGTGGCGTGGTGGGCAGCACCTACGTCACACAGGTGGCGTGGTGGGCAGCACCTACGTCACACAGGTGGCGTGGTGGGCAGCACCTACGTCACACAGGTGGTGGTGTAGGGGGCAGCACCTACGTCACACAGGTGATGTGGTGTGAGCAGCACCTACGTCACACAGGTGGTGTGGGCAGCACCTACGTCATACAGGTGGTGGTGTGGAGGGCAGCACCTACGTCACACAGGTGATGGTGTGGTGGGCAGCACCTACGTCACACAGGTGGTGTGGAGGGCAGCACCTACGTCACACAGGTGGTGTGGTGGGCAGTACCTACGTCACACAGGTGGTGGTGTGGTGGGCAGCACCTACGTCACACAGGTGGTGTGGTGGGCAGCACCTACGTCACACAGGTGGCGTGGTGGACAGCACCTACGTCACACAGGTGATGGTGTGGTGGGCAGCACCTACGTCACACAGGTGATTGTGTGGTGGGCATCACCTACGTCATACAGGTGATGGTGTGGTGGGCAGTACCTACGTCACACAGGTGGTGGTGTAGGGGGCAGCACCTACGTCACACAGGTGGTGTGGTGGGCAGCACCTACGTCACACAGGTGGTGTGGTGGGCTGCACCTACGTCACACAGGTGATGGTGTGTGGTGTGGGCAGCACCTACGTCACACAGGTGATGGTGAGGAGGGCAGCACCTACGTCACACAGGTGTTGTGGTGTAGGGGGCAGCACCTACGTCACACAGGTGATGGTGTGGAGGGCAGCACCTACGTCACACAGGTGATGTGGTGTAGGGGGCAGCACCTACGTCACACAGGTGGTGTGGAGGGCAGCACCTACGTCACACAGGTGGTGGTGTGGAGGGCAGCACCTACGTCACACAGGTGGTGAGGGCAGCACCTACGTCACACAGGTGGTGTGGTGGACAGCACCTACGTCACACAGGTGGTGGTGTGGAGGGCAGCACCTACGTCACACAGGTGGTGGTGTGGAGGGCAGCACCTACGTCACACAGGTGGTGGTGTGGAGGGCAGCACCTACGTCACACAGGTGGTGGTGTGGAGGGCAGCACCTACGTCACACAGGTGGTGGTGTGGTGGGCAGTACCTACGTCACACAGGTGGTGGTGTGGTGGGCAGCACCTACGTCACACAGGTGGTGTGGTGGGCAGTACCTACGTCACACAGGTGATGTGGTGTGAGCAGCACCTACGTCACACAGGTGGTGTGGGCAGCACCTACGTCATACAGGTGGTGGTGTGGAGGGCAGCACCTACGTCACACAGGTGATGGTGTGGTGGGCAGCACCTACGTCACACAGGTGGTGTGGAGGGCAGCACCTACGTCACACAGGTGGTGTGGTGGGCAGTACCTACGTCACACAGGTGGTGGTGTGGTGGGCAGCACCTACGTCACACAGGTGGTGTGGTGGGCAGCACCTACGTCACACAGGTGGCGTGGTGGACAGCACCTACGTCACACAGGTGATGGTGTGGTGGGCAGCACCTACGTCACACAGGTGATTGTGTGGTGGGCATCACCTACGTCATACAGGTGATGGTGTGGTGGGCAGTACCTACGTCACACAGGTGGTGGTGTAGGGGGCAGCACCTACGTCACACAGGTGGTGTGGTGGGCAGCACCTACGTCACACAGGTGGTGTGGTGGGCTGCACCTACGTCACACAGGTGATGGTGTGTGGTGTGGGCAGCACCTACGTCACACAGGTGATGGTGAGGAGGGCAGCACCTACGTCACACAGGTGTTGTGGTGTAGGGGGCAGCACCTACGTCACACAGGTGATGGTGTGGTGGGCAGCACCTACGTCACACAGGTGATGTGGTGTAGGGGGCAGCACCTACGTCACACAGGTGGTGTGGAGGGCAGCACCTACGTCACACAGGTGGTGGTGTGGAGGGCAGCACCTACGTCACACAGGTGGTGAGGGCAGCACCTACGTCACACAGGTGGTGTGGTGGACAGCACCTACGTCACACAGGTGGTGGTGTGGAGGGCAGCACCTACGTCACACAGGTGGTGGTGTGGAGGGCAGCACCTACGTCACACAGGTGGTGGTGTGGAGGGCAGCACCTACGTCACACAGGTGGTGGTGTGGAGGGCAGCACCTACGTCACACAGGTGGTGTGGAGGGCAGCACCTACGTCACACAGGTGGTGGTGTGGAGGGCAGCACCTACGTCACACAGGTGGTGGTGTGGAGGGCAGCACCTACGTCACACAGGTGGTGTGGGGGGCAGCACCTACGTCACACAGGTGGTGAGGGCAGCACCTACGTCACACAGGTGGTGTGGGGGGCAGCACCTACGTCACACAGGTGGTGAGGGCAGCACCTACGTCACAGGTGGTGGTGAGGGCAGCACCTACGTCACACAGGTGGTGTGGTGGGCTTCACCTACGTCACACAGGTGGTGAGGAGGGCAGCACCTACGTCACACAGGTGGTGTGGTGGGCAGCACCTACGTCACACAGGTGGTGAGGGCAGCACCTACGTCACACAGGTGGTGTAGGGGGCAGCACCTACGTCACACAGGTGGTGTGGTGGGCTTCACCTACGTCCCACAGGTGCTTGGTGAAGCCCCAGCGGGGGGAGTTGGAGAAGCGCAGGTCGCTGCCGCTGAGGATGATGGGCGAGTGGAGGTGGTTGAGGTGCGCCACGTCGGCCGCGTTCTCTGGGATCTCCTGCGGGGGGTGGGGGGGGCGGGGGGGGGCAAGGGGGGGGTGGGGGGGGCCGAGGGGGGGCGGGGTGGGACAGCATCGCGCCGACGCAACGCACGATCCGTGTCAAGGACGAGCACAGTGCGATTGTGTGCGAGTGTGTGTGTGTATTAGTGTGTGTGTGAGTGTATTAGTGTGTGTGAGTGTGTGTGTGTGTATTAGTGTGTGTGTTAGTGTGTGTGTGTGTGCATTAGTGTGTGTGTGCGAGTGTCTGTGAGTGTGTGTATTAGTGTGTGTGTGTATTAGTGTGTGTGAGTGTGTGTATTAGTGTGTGTGTGTGAGTGTATTAGTGTGTGTGTGTATTAGTGTGTGTGAGTGTGTGAGTGTATTAGTGTGTGTGAGTGTGTGTGTGTGTATATTAGTGTGTGTGAGTGTGTGAGTGTATTAGTGTGTGTGTGTGTGTATTAGTGTGTGTGAGTGTGTGAGTGTATTAGTGTGTGTGAGTGTGTGAGTGTATTAGTGTGTGTGAGTGTGTGAGTGTATTAGTGTGTGTGAGTGTGTGAGTGTATTAGTGTGTGTGTGCGAGTGTGTGTGAGTGTGTGTATTAGGGTGTGTGTATTAGTGTGTGTGAGTGTGTGTATTAGTGTGTGTGTGTGAGTGTATTAGTGTGTGTGTGTGTATTAGTGTGTGTGTGTATTAGTGTGTGTGTGTATTAGTGTGTGTGTGAGTGTGTGTGTGTATTAGTGTGTGTGTGTGTATTAGTGTGTGTGTGTATTAGTGTGTGTGAGTGTGTGAGTGTATTAGTGTGTGTGAGTGTGTATTAGTGTGTGTGAGTGTGTGAGTGTATTAGTGTGTGTGTGTATTAGTGTGTGTGTGTGAGTGTGTATTAGTGTGTGTGTGTGAGTGTGTGAGTGTGAGTGTATTAGTGTGTGTGTGTGAGTGTGTGAGTGTGTGTGAGTGAGTGTATTAGTGTGTGTGTGTGAGTGTGTGAGTGTGTATTAGTGTGTGTATGTGTGAGTGTATTAGTGTGTGTGGGTGAGTATATTAGTGTGTGTGTGTATTAGTGTGTGTGTGAGTGTATTAGTGTGTGTGGGTGAGTGTGTGAGTGTATTTGTGTGTGTGGGTGAGTGTGTGAGTGTATTGTCCGGCAAAACAACCCCCTACCTCCTCGCGGTGCCGGACGGGCAACTCTGTAGTGGACAGTGCTGTGGGGGGAGATCCAATTTTGATTGCCTCCTCCCCTCATGGCATATGTGTCCACCACAGGGGCTAAACGGGGGCTCTGGACGGGTGCGAGGGGCTGGTAACCCCTCCACCTTCAATTAATTACCACTAAACCGCGAATTAAGTATATAACCAATAAGCTGGTGCCGGAGGCCCCGGGGGACCAGGCGTCTATGACGTCTCCTGGCCAAACCCCAATTGGCAGAGCCAGGAGATTGAATATATACCCTCGGGGCTCCTCCAGAAACAACGAAAAACCACTTCGTGTGGCCACGTGGAATGTTCGAACGCTCACTGCGGAGGAGAGGCTGCCACTCCTCTGTCGGGAGCTGGGCCGGTACCACCTGGATCTATGTGGCATTCAGGAGGTCCGGTGGACCGGTTCTGGCTCCTGCCACTTTGAGGGGTGGACAATTCTCTACTCGGGGCAGCAGACTGCCAAACAACAGGGTGTGGCTCTTCTTTTGAACAAAAGAATGAAGGGGGCGTGGGAGCGTGGCGGTGAGGTGTGGGAAGCTGTAAGCCCCAGGCTACTTTGGGCTCGCCTTCCCATCAACTGGAGGCGAGGAATGGTGGTCGTGGTTACTTATGCCCCCACCGAAGATGAACATCCGAGGAGGGATGCAGGCAAAGCTGATGAGTCAGATGCCTTCTATGACCTGCTGTCACAGGTGCTGGCTAAAGTGGCCCATCGGGATAGAGTCATTATGTTGGGTGACTTCAATGCCCGAGTTGGTCATGATGCTGGCACCTGGTCTGGAGTAATTGGAGGGCATGGGCCAGATCAGCTCAATAACAACGGTAGGAGGCTGTGCAGCCCATGGGCTTGTAATTACCAACACGCTGTTCCGGCATCGGCGCATCCACACAACATCATGGATGCATGCCGGGTCCAAGCAAGAACATCTGCTGGACTACATAGTGATGGACCAGCGGATGCGAGCCCATGTCCTTAACACCAGGACCTACCGTGGAGCTGATCTGCCCTCTGACCATCGACTAGTCATCAGTAAGATGCGCCTTCTTGCACTCCGGTGGTGGGTGTACACCCAGGACCCCATTCCAACCTAAAGTGGCCTGGTCTCAGTTATCTGATGAAAGTTGCAAGCGAGAATTTCATCATCGCTTGCGGCTAGAATTGGCATCGTCCCCGACTCCTCCTGATGTCGAGGGTAAATGGGCGAGGTTTAGGACTGTAACTCATGCAGCTGCAATGGCTGCTTTGGGTACGTGGTCCAGACCTCCCCAGAGACCCTGGCTGATAGAGGAGGTGTTCAGGATGGTTGAGAAAAAGCGACAGGCCCACTGTCATCGGCTACAGAATCCCACGTCAGAGAATGAGAAGGCTTACCGCAGCCTTCGCTCGGAGGTTCGGAGAGCCGTGAGGCGCTGCAAGGATGGGTGGTGGTCGCGGGTTGCTGAGGAGATGGAGTCTGCCTCAGTGGCCCATCATCACAAATCTCTATTTAACTCCATCAAAAAAGTAACCTGCAGCGCCACACCTATTACCATCATTTGGGGAAAAAACGGTGATCCAATCGCCGACCCCCAGGAACAGGTTTGCAGATTTGCTGAGCATTTCTGTGAGGTCCTGGGGGAGGGAAAATCCCTCAGCCAGGAAAACATCGTGGCACAAAGTGAGGATGACCCTGCTGAGGCTGCGGTGCCTCAAATATTGGAAGAAGTCACCCCCTGTGAGTGTCTGGCTGAGGTGCCATCTCTTGAGGAAGTACTGAAGGCGATCCGGAGTCTGAGACCAGGAAAGGCAGCGGGCAGAGATGATCTCCCAAGCGAAATGTTGAGGGAGGGTGGCGTTTGTGCACAGACTGCCCTATATGACATCATAACAACAGTCTGGACCACTGAACGGGTTCCGCAGTATTGGAAGGATGCCCTGGTGGTCCCCCTTTTTAAGAAGGGGGATCACACAGACTGTAACAACTACAGGGGCATCTCACTCCTCAGTGTGCCGGGAAAGGTCCTGGCAAGGATTATTCAGCATCGCCTTGCCAGGCACGCTGAGGAGATGCTTGCGGAGCCCCAATGCGGTTTTAGGAAAGGGCAGTCTTGCACAGATGCCATATTTTCTGTCCGTCTGCTACAGCAGAGGTGTAGGAAATTCCAACAAGACCTACATCTCTGCTTTATTGACCTGGTCAAGGCCTATGATACCATCAGTAGGCCTGGGCTCTGGGTTGTTCTTCTTGCTTTTGGAGTACCTGACCCTCTGCTCACGATCATTAAGGACCTTCATGATGGTGAGCGGGCCCGGGTAAAACTACGTGGCCGGGAGTCAGAGCCATTCCCTGTACACCTTGGGGTGTGACAGGGATGTCCTCTGGCTCCCACATTATTTAACATCTATTTTGACCACGTAGTTCGTGAAGCCTTCAATAGCTGTATCGGGGGAATCTCCATATGGTACAGATATAATGGGAGGCTGATCGATGCCCGGGTGCGGTCAAGGGATGGCTCCCTATTGCTCAACCACGTTATGTATGCTGATGATTTCGTAATAGCTGCTCATTCAGAGGAGGAGTTGGAGACGCTGCTGCTGAGACTGGAGCGTGCCACTAAGAGGTGGGGCCTTACCATCAGCCCCACCGAAACTAAGCACCTGCCTGGGTATTTTGTACCATCAGACACTCCACCCCCACAACTCCCAATCGGTGATGGGGCAGTTGTGGAGCGAGTGGAGAGTTTCCCATACCTGGGCAGTGTGCTTATGACCAGCTCCAGTTTAACAGCAGAGGTCTCACTCCGAATCAGTCGAGCGGCAATATCTTTTCATCGGTTGCGTAACGCTGTGTGGAAGCTACCTGGTCTGTCGCTCTGCACTAAGCTTCAGGTCTTCTCGGCCACGGTCATTCCCTCCCTTCTCTACGCTTGCGAAACGTGGACCCCCCTAATGGAACATCTTCGCCGGTTAGAAACATTTAGGCTGGCCTGCCTACGATCCATCCTGGGTTTAACCAGACTGGATTGTGTGAGGAGCTCACAAATCCTTGAAAGATCTGGGCAAGGTCCCATCGGTGAGTTCCTCCGGCGGGCAAGGCTGCGATGGCTGGGTCATGTAGCCCGCATGCCCAGCCACCGCATGCCGAAACAGCTTTTGTTCGGCCGGATCAAGGGGGCTAGATGGGCGCGGCACGGGCTAGAGAAGAGATGGAGTGATGTGGTACAGGAGGACGTGGAGATGAGTGGACTTGCCGATGACTGGTACCAGCGGTGTCAAGATAGGCCTCTGTGGAGGAGGCTCGTGAAGGACGCTACTGGGCAGTTGGAGGTAGTCGCCCTCCACCAACAACTGAGGGTGGAGGAGCAACACTCACAACAACGAGCGGAGCGCCGGGTGGCTAAAGCACAGCAGATAGGCACAGTAGGGGGCACAGGTGGTGCATCAGCCAGTCATCTCTGTCAGTCGACCCGTGGCACCTGGGTGTGCCCCGTGACCTCCTGCCAGCGGGCGTTCGACACTTCACGTGGCCTCAGGGTGCACATAGCCTGGCACAAGCGTCGTGGTGACGTCACCGACACTTAGTGGCGAATGGCGGTTGTTGTTGAGTGTGTGTGACTCTGTGTGTGACTGTGTGACTGTGTGTGTGACTGTGTGAGTGAGTGAGTGTGTGACTGTGTGACTGTGTGTGACTGTGTGTGTGACTGTGTGACTGTGTGTGTGACTTTGTGTGTGACTGTCTCCCCACCTGTATGTGCGCGTTGATGGTGTGTGACTGTGTGTGACTGTGTGTGTGAGTGTGTGTGACTGTGTGTGTGACTGTGTGTGTGACTGCGTCTCCCCACCTGTATCTGCGTGTTGATGGTGTGTGACTGTGTGTGGCTGTGTGTGACTGTGTGAGTGACTGTGTGTGTGACTGTGTGAGTGACTGTGTGTGTGACTGTGTGTGTGACTGTGTGAGTGAGTGTATGTGTGACTGTGTGTGTGACTGTGTGCGTGACTGTGTGTGTGACTGTGTGTGTGATTGTGTGTGAGACTGTGTGAGTGAGTGTGTGACTGTGTGTGAGTGAGTTTGTGTGACTGTGTGTGTGACTGTGTGACTGTGTGTGTGTGAGTGTGTGTGAGTGTTGTGGGGAGCGATAGTGTAGCGGTTAGCGCGCTGCGCTATGAACCCGGCGACACGGGTTCGATTCTCGCTCACGGCCAACACCAGTGACGATTATCTGAACCGGTCCCGGGCCTCCCCTAGGTCGACTCAGCCTCAAATGAGTACCTGGTGCGGTGTGTAAACATTGCCACTAGGGAGACAAAGGCGGTCGGGCGTGGTGCTGGCCACCCACCCCCTCGTGTACCGTTCCGGCCTTCATAGGTGCTCGCTAACAGCACTTGCCCCTACAGTCTGTTAAGGCTATACGGGGGATCTTTGTCTTTGTTCTTTGTGTGTGAGTGTGTGTGTGTGACAGTGTGTGTGACTGTGTGTGTGACTGTGTGTGTGAGTGTATGTGACTGTGCGTGACTGTGTGTGTGACTGTGTGTGACAGTGTGTGTGACTGTGTGTGTGACTGTGAGTGTGACTGTGTGTGTGACTGTCTCCCCACCTGTATGTGCGCGTTGATGGTGTGTGACTGTGCGTGAGTGAGTGTGTGACTGTGTGTGTGAGTGTGTGTGAGTGTGTGTGACTGTGTGTGTGAGTGTGTGCGACTGTGTGTGTGACTGTGCGTGTGACTGTGTGACTGTGTGTGTGACTGTGACTGCGTCTCCCCACCTGTATGTGCGCGTTGATGGTGTGTGACTGTGTGTGTGACTGTGTGTGTGAGTGTGTGTGTGTCTGTGTGTGTGTCTGTGTGTGTGACTGTGTGTGCGACTGTGTGTGTGAGTGTGTGTGACTGTGCGTGTGACTGTGCGTGTGACTGTGTGACTGTGTGTGTGACTGTGTGTGTGACTGTCTCCCCACCTGTATGTGCGCGTTGATGGTGTGTGACTGTGTGTGTGAGTGTGTGTGACTGTGTGACTGCGTGTGACTGTGTGTGTGTCTGTGTGTGTGACTGTGTGTGTGACTATGTGTGTGAGTGTGTGTGACTGTGCGTGTGACTGTGTGTGTGACTGTGTGACTGTGTGTGTGACTGTGTGTGTGACTGTGTGTGTGACTGTGTGTGTGACTGTGTGTGTGACTGTGTGTGTGACTGTCTCCCCACCTGTATGTGCGCGTTGATGGTGTGTGACTGTCTGTGTGACTGTGTGTGTGAGTGTGTGTGTGAGTGTGTGTGACTGTGTGTGTGTCTGTGTGTGTGTCTGTGTGTGTGACTGTGTGTGACTGTGTATGACTGTGTGTGTGACTGTGTGTGTGACTGTGTGTGACTGTGTGTGTGACTGTGTGTGTGAGTGTGTGTGAGTGTGTGTGACTGTGTGTGTGCCTGTGTGTGTGTGACTGTGTGTGACTGTGTATGACTGTGTGTGTGACTGTGTGTGTGACTGTGTGTGACTGTGTGTGTGACTGCGTCTCCCCACCTGTATGTGCGCATTGATGGTGTGTGACTGTGTGTGTGAGTGTGTGTGACTGTGTGACTGCGTGTGACTGTGTGTGTGTCTGTGTGTGCGACTGTGTGTGTGACTATGTGTGTGAGTGTGTGTGACTGTGCGTGTGACTGTGCGTGTGACTGTGTGTGTGACTGTGTGACTGTGTGTGTGACTGTGTGTGTGACTGTGTGTGACTGTGTGTGTGACTGTGTGTGTGACTGTGTGTGACTGTGTGTGTGACTGTGTGTGTGACTGCGTCTCCCTACCTGTATGTGCGCGTTGATGGTGTGTGACTGTGTGTGACTGTGTGTGTGACTGTGTGTGTGACTGTGTGTGTGACTGTGTGTGAGATGTGTGTGACTGTGTGTGTGACTGTGTGTGTGACTGTGTGTGAGTGTGTGTGACTGTGTGTGTGACTGTGTGTGACTGTGTGTCAGTGTGTGTGACTGTGTGTGACTGTGAGTGTGACTGTGTGTGTGACTGTGTGTGACTGTGTGACTGTGTGTGTGACTGTCTCCCCACCTGTATGTGCGCGTTGATGGTGTGTGACTGTCTGTGTGACTGTGTGTGTGAGTGTGTGTGTGAGTGTGTGTGACTGTGTGTGTGTCTGTGTGTGTGACTGTGTGTGACTGTGTATGTGAGTGTGTGTGACTGTGTGTGTGACTGTGTGTGACTGTGTGTGTGACTGTGTGTGTGACTGTGTGTGTGAGTGTGTGTGAGTGTGTGTGACTGTGTGTGTGCCTGTGTGTGTGACTGTGTGTGACTGTGTGTGTGACTGCGTCTCCCCACCTGTATGTGCGCATTGATGGTGTGTGACTGTGTATGTGAGTGTGTGTGAGTGTGTGTGACTGTGTATGTGAGTGTGTGTGACTGTGTGTGTGACTGTGTGTGTGACTGCGTCTCCCCACCTGTATGTGCGCGTTGATGGTGCGTGACTGTGTGTGTGAGTGTGTGTGACTGTGCGTGAGTGAGTGTGTGACTGTGTGTGACTGTGTGTGACTGTGTGTGACTGTGTATGTGAGTGTGTGTGACTGTGTGTGAGTGCGTGTGACTGTGCTTGTGACTGTGTGTGTTACTGCGTGTGTGACTGTGTGACTGTGTGTGACTGTGTGTGTGACTGTGTGACTGTGTGTGTGACTGTGTGACTGTGTGTGACTGTGTGTGTGACTGTGTGTGTGACTGTGTGACTGTGTGTGTGACTGTGTGTGTGACTGTCTCCCCACCTGTATGTGCGCGTTGATGGTGTGTGACTGTGTGTGACTGTGTGTGTGAGTGTGTGTGACTGTGTGTGTGACTGTGCGTGTGACTGTGTGACTGTGTGTGTGACTGTGACTGCGTCTCCCCACCTGTATGTGCGCGTTGATGGTGTGTGACTGTGTGTGTGACTGTGTGTGTGAGTGTGTGTGTGAGTGTGTGTGACTGTGTGTGTGTCTGTGTGTATGAGTGTGTGACTGTGTGACTGTGTGTGACTGTGTGACTGTGTGTGACTGTGTGTGTGACTGTGTGTGTGACTGTGTGTGACTGTGTGTGTGCCTGTGTGACTGTCTCCCCACCTGTATGTGCGCGTTGATGGTGTGTGACTGTGTGTGTGACTGTGTGTGTGAGTGTGTGTGTGTGTGACTGTCTGTGTGTCTGTGTGTGTGACTGTCTGTGTGTCTGTGTGTGTGAGTGTGTGTGTGACTGTGTGTGTGAGTGTGTGTGACTGTGTGTGTGACTGTGTGTGTGACTGTCTCCCCACCTGTATGTGCGCGTTGATGGTGTGTGACTGTGCGTGAGTGAGTGTGTGACTGTGTGTGTGACTGTGTGTGAGTGTGTGTGACTGTGTGTGTGACTGTGTGTGACTGTGTGTGTGACTGTGTGTGTGACTGCGTCTCCCTACCTGTATGTGCGCGTTGATGGTGTGTGACTGTGTGTGACTGTGTGTGTGACTGTGTGTGTGACTGTGTGTGTGACTGTGTGTGAGATGTGTGTGACTGTGTGTGTGACTGTGTGTGTGACTGTGTGTGAGTGTGTGTGACTGTGTGTGTGACTGTGTGTGACTGTGTGTGAGTGTGTGTGACTGTGTGTGACTGTGAGTGTGACTGTGTGTGTGACTGTCTCCCCACCTGTATGTGCGCGTTGATGGTGTGTGACTGTGCGTGAGTGAGTGTGTGACTGTGTGTGTGAGTGTGTGTGACTGTGTGTGACTGTGTGTGACTGTGTGACTGTGTGCGTGACTGTCTCCCCACCTGTATGTGCGCGTTGATGGTGTGCTCCGTGCGTCCTCTGTACCGCCACTCGCCGCTGGCAATCTCCTCCACCTGGGGCACCTCCCACGATGGCTCCACGCCGTCACAATGGAACCACGCGTAGACGCAGCCGTTGCGCTCACAGCTCGCCCAGCTGCGCACGCGCGCAAACTCCGGCACTGCACACGGGTGCAGCAAGAGCAGCAGCAGTAGCAGTAGTAGCAGCAGTAGTATTAGCAGTAGTAGCAGCAGTAGTAGCAGCAGTAGTAGCAGCAATAGTAGCAGCAGTAGTAGTAGCAGTAGAAGTAGCAGCAGTAGTAGCAGTAGCAGCAGTAGTAGTAGTAGCAGTAGTAGCAGCAGTAGTAGCAGTAGCAGCAGTAGTAGTAGTAGCAGTAGTAGCAGCAGTAGCAGTAGTAGCAGTAGCGGCAGCAGTAGTAGCAGTAGTAGCAGCAGCAGTAGTAGCAGCAGTAGTAGTAGCAGCAGTAGTAGTAGTAGCAGCAGTAGCAGCAGTAGCAGCAGCAGCAGCAGTAGTAGCAGTAGTAGCAGCAGTAGTAGTAGCAGCAGTAGTAGTAGCAGCAGCAGCGGCAGCAGTAGTGGCAGCAGTAGCAATAGTAATAGCAGAAGCAGTAGTAGTAGCAATAGTAGTGGCAGCAGTAGTAGCAGCAGTAGTAGTAGTAGCAGCAGCAGTAGTAGCAGTAGAAGTAGTGGTAGTAGCAGCAGTAGCAGCAGTAGAAGTAGCGGTAGTAGCAATAGCAGCAGTAGAAGTGTCATTGTCAACATCATGGTTGTCATAATGATCATTGTCGTGATCACTCACTCACACCACCATCGCTGTTATTGTGATGGCGTTGATGACGATGGTAAAGATGATGGTAATGATGATGGTGGCAAGGACGATAGTGGCGATATGGACGATGTTGAAGATGGTGATGCTGAAGATATTGACGATGTTGATGTTGACGATGGTAATGTTGACGATGTTGATGTTGAAAATGTTGATGTTGGCGATGGTGATGTTGACGATGGTGATGATGTTGACGATGGTAATGATGCTGACGATGTTGATGTTGACGATGGTGATGATGTTGACGATGGTGATGATGTTGAAGATGGTGATGATGTTGACAATGGTAATGTTGACGATGGTGATGTTGACGATGGTAATGATGTTGAAGATGGTGATGATGTTGACGATGGTAATGTTGACGATGGTAATGTTGACGATGGTAATGATGTTGAAGATGGTGATGATGTTGAAGATGGTGATGATGTTGACGATGGTAATGTTGACGATGGTAATGTTGACGATGGTAATGTTGACGATGGTAATGTTGACGATGGTGATGATGTTGACGATGCTGATGATGTTGACGATGGTAATGTTGAAGATGGTTTCGATGGTAATGATGTTGACGATGGTGATGATGTTGACGATGGTGATGATGTTGACGATGGTGATGATGTTGACGATGGTGATGATGTTGACGATGGTGATGATGTTGACGATGGTAATGTTGAAGATGGTGATGTTGAGGACGATGGTGATGTTGAGGACGATGGTGACGATGTTGACGATGCTGAAGATGTTGACGATGGTGACGATGGTGACGATGGTGATGTTGACGATGGTGACGATGGTGACGATGTTGACGATGGTGACGATGGTGACGATGTTGACGATGGTGACGATGTTGACGATGTTGACGATGTTGACGATGGTGACGATGGTGACGATGGTGATGTTGACGATGGTGACGATGGTGACGATGTTGACGATGGTGACGATGTTGACGATGGTGACGATGTTGACGATGCTGACGATGTTGACGATGGTGACGACGACGACGTTCACGACCGCGAGAGCTCCGCACCTCTTTTCGAGTAGGGAATGTGCACGCAGCGGCCGTCCTCGCCGCGGAACCTCCAGCCGTGGAAGGGGCACTCGAGGCAGTCGCCTCTCACCTGGCCTCCCACGGCCAGGTTGGCGCCCAGGTGCGGGCAGTAGGCATCCAGAACGCTCACCTGGCCCTGCTCGCTACGGAACACCGCCAGCTGCTCGCCTGCGCACCACGCCGAGACAAAGGCAAAGGGCCCCCCGGGTAGCCTTCAGCGGCGTGGAGGGGCAAGTGCGCTCAGTCAGCGAGCACCCCCCCCCCCCCGCTAGGAAGGAGACAAAGACAAATGTACCCCGGGTAGCTTCCAACAGGGGTAGGGGCAAGCGCTGTCAGTAGCGAGCAGCAGCGGCAGTGCCTACGAAGGCTGTCGTGGCACACGTGCGTGCGTGCGTGCGTGCGGGCGGGTGGGTGGCCGGCACCGACACCCGTGTGACGGTGCGTTCCCGCACTTAGCCTCGACGGGTCCCGGGCCTCCCCTAGGTGGACTCGGCCTCAGAACCGAGCACCTGAGTGCGGCGTGCGGCAAGCGCGGCCTGTCGGGGAGGCTGCGCTGGCTGGGTCATTGAGCCCGCATGCCCGGCCACCGCATGCCCGGCCACCGCATGCCCGGCCACCGCATGCCCGGCCACCGCATGCCCGGCCACCGCATGCCCGGCAACCGCATGCCCGGCCACCGCATGCCTAAACAGCTTTTGTTCGGCCGGATCGAGGGGGCTAAACGGGCGCGGCACGGGCTAGAGAAGAGATGGAGTGATGTGGTACAGGAGGACGTGGAGCTGAGTGGACTTGCCGATGACTGGTACCAGCAGTGTCAAGATCGGCCTCTGTGGAGGAGGCTCGTGAAGGACGCTGCTGGGCAGTTGGAGGCAGTCGCCCTCCAACAACAACGGAGGGCGGAGGAGCGACGCTCACAACAACGAGCGGAGCGCCGGGTGGCTAAAGCACAGCAGGTTGGCACAGTAGGGGGCACAGGTGGTGCATCAGCCAGTCATCTCAGTCAGTCGACCCGTGGCACCTGGGTCTGCCCCGTGACCTCCTGCCAGCGGGCGTTGGACACTTCACGTGGCCTCAGGGTGCACATAGCCTGGCACAAGCGTCGTGGTGACGTCACCGCCACTTAGTGGCGAACGGCGGTTGTTGTTGTTGTATGTGTGTGTGTATGTGTGTGTATGTGTGTATGTGTGTGTATGTGTGTATGTGTGTGTATGTGTGTGTGTGTATGTGTGTGTGAAACGTGGACCCCCCTAATGGAACATCTTCGCCGGTTAGAAACATTTAGGCTGGCCTGCCTACGATCCATCCTGGGTTTAACCAGACTGGATTGTGTGAGGAGCTCACAAATCCTTGAAAGATCTGGGCAAGGTCCCATCGGTGAGCTCCTCCAGCAGGCAAGGCTGCGATGGCTGGGTCATGTAGCCCGCATGCCCAGCCACCGCATGCCGAAACAGCTTTTGTTCGGCCGGATTGAGGGGGCTAAGCGGGCGCGGCACGGGCTAGAGAAGAGATGGAGTGATGTGGTACAGGAGAACGTGGAGCTGAGTGGACTTGCCGATGACTGGTACCAGCGGTGTCAAGATCGGCCTCTGTGGAGGAGCTCGTGAAGGATGCTACTGGGCAGTTGGAGGCAGTCGGCTCCAACAACAACGGAGGGCGGAGGAGCGACGCTCAGAACGAGCGGAGCGCCGGGTGGCTAAAGCACAGCAGGTTGGCACAGTAGGGGGCACAGGTGGTGCATCAGCCAGTCATCTCAGTCAGTCGACCCGTGGCACCTGGGTCTGCCCCGTGACCTCCTGCCGGCGGGCGTTCGACACTTCACGTGGCCTCAGGGTGCACATAGCCTGGCACAAGCGTCGTGGTGACGTCACCGCCACTTAGTGGCGAATGGCGGTTTTTGTTGTATGTGTGTGTGTGTATGTGTGTGTGTGTATGTGTTTATGTGTGTGTATGTGTGTGTGTATGTGTGGGGAGCGATAGTGTAGCGGTTAGCGTGTGTATGTGTGGGGAGCGATAGTGTAGCGGTCAGCGCGCTGCGCTATGAACCTGGCGACCCAGGTTCGATTCCCGCTCACGGCCAACACCAGTGACGATTATCTGAACCGGTTCCGGGCCTCCCCTAGGTCGACTCAGCCTCAAATGAGTACCTGGTGCGGTGTGTAAACATTGCCACTAGGGAGACAAAGGCGGTCGGGCGTGGTGTTGGCCACCCACCCCTTCGTGTACTGTTCCGGCCTTCATAGGTGCTCGCTAACAGCACTTGCCCCTACAGTCTGTTAAGGCTATATGGGGGATCTTTGTCTTTGTATGTGTGTGTGTGTGTATGTGTGTGTGTATGTGTGTGTGTATGTGTGTGTATGTGTATGTGTGTGTGTATGTATGTGTGTGTATGTGTGTGTGTATGTGTGTGTATGTGTGTGTATATGTGTGTGTGTGCGTGCAATGCGGCTCGTGCAGCCATCACTCTCTCTGCCAAATAGTTGTTATGCTTCCCCGATGTGCTCATCACGGCCGAGATGCTCCACATTCCACACATACACACATACACACACACATACACACATACATACACACACATACACACACACATACACAACAACAACAACCGCCATTCGCCACTGAGTGGCGGTGACGTCACCACGACGCTTGTGCCAGGCTATGTGCACCCTGAGGCCACGTGAAGTGTCGAACGCCCGCTGGCAGGAGGTCACGGGGCAGACCCAGGTGCCACGGGTCGACTGACTGAGATGACTGGCTGATGCACCACCTGTGCCCCCTACTGTGCCAACCTGCTGTGCTTTAGCCACCCGGCACTCCGCTCGTTGTTGTGAGCGTCGCTCCTCCGCCCTCCGTTGTTGTTGGAGGGCGACTACCTCCAACTGCCCAGTAGCATCCTTCACGAGCCTCCTCCACGGAGGTCGATCTTGACACCACTGGTACCAGTAATCGGCAAGTCCACTCAGCTCCACGTCCTTCTGTACCACATCACTCCATCTCTTCTCTAGCCCGTGCCATGCCCGCTTAGCCCCCTCGATCCGGCCGAACAAAAGCTGTTTTGGCATGCGGTGGCTGGGCATGCGGGCTACATGACCCAGCCATCGCAGCCTTGCCCGCCGGAGGAGCTCACCGATGGGACCCTGCCCAGATCTTCCAAGGATTTGTGAGCTCCTCACACAATCCAGTCTGGTTAAACCCAGGATGGATCGTAGGCAGGCCAGCCTAAATGTTTCTAACCGGCAAAGATGTTCCATTAGGGGGGTCCACGTTTCGCAAGCGTAGAGAGGGAGGGAATGACCGTGGCCGAGAAGACCTGAAGCTTAGTGCGGAGCGACAGACCAGGTAGCTTCCACACAGCGTTACGCAACCGATGAAAAGATATTGCCGCTCGACTGATTCGGAGTGAGACCTCTGCTGTTAAACTGGAGCCGGTCATAAGCACACTTCCCAGGTATGGGAAACTCTCCACTCTCTCCACAACTGCCCCATCACCAATTGGGAGTTGTGGGGGTGGAGTGTCCAATGGTACAAAATACCCAGGCAGGTGCTTAGTTTTGGTGGGGCTGATGGTAAGGCCCCATCTCTTAGTGGCACGCTCCAGTCTCAGCAGCAGCGTCTCCAACTCCTCCTCTGAATGAGCAGCTATTACCAAATCATCGGCATACATAACGTGGTTGAGCAATAGGGAGCCATCCCTTGACCGCACCCGGGCATCGATCAGCCTCCCATTATATCTGTATCATATCGAGATTCCCCCGGTACAGCTATTGAAGGCTTCATGAACTACGTGGTCGAAATAGATGTTAAATAATGTGGGAGCCAGAGGACATCCCTGTCGCACCCCAAGGTGTACAGGGAATGGCTCTGACTCCCGGCTACGCAGTTTTACCCGGGCCCGCTCACCATCATGAAGGTCCTTAATGATCGTGAGCAGAGGGTCAGGGACTCCAAAAGCACGAAGAACAACCCAGAGCCACAGGCCTACTGATGGTATCATAGGCCTTGACCAGGTCAATAAAGCAGAGATGTAGGTCTTGCTGGAATTCCCTACACCTCTGCTGTAGCAGACGGACAGAAAATATGGCATCTGTGCAGGACCGCCCTTTCCTGAAACCGCATTGGGGCTCCACAAGCCTCTCCTCAGCGTGCCTGGCACGGCGATGTTTAATAATCCATGCCAGGACCTTTCCCGGCACACTGAGGAGTGAGATGGCCCTGTAGTTGTTACAGTCTGTGCGGTCCCCCTTCTTAAAGAGGGGGACCACCAGGGCATCCTTCCAATCCTGCGGAACCCGTCCAGTGGTCCAGCCTCATACACACACACACAGACACACACACTTACATACACACACATACACACACATACAACAACAACAACCGCCATTCGTCACTAAGTGGCGGTGACGTCACCACGACGCTTGTGCCGGGACATGTGCACCTTGAGGCCACGTGGAGTGTCGAACGCCCCCCGGCAGGAGGTCACGGGGCAGACCCAGGTGCAACGGGTCGACTGACTGGGATGACTGGCTGATGCACCACCTGTGCCCCCTACTGTGCCAACCTGCTGTGCTTTAGCCACCCGATGCTCCGCTCGTTGTTGTGAGCGTTGCTCCTCCGCCCTCCGTTGTTGTTGGAGGGCGACTACCTCCAACTGCCCAGTTGCGTCCTTCACGAGCCTCCTCCACAGAGGCCGATCTTGACACCGCGGGTACCAGTCATCGGCAAGTCCACTCAGCTCCACGTCCTTCTGTACCACATCACTCCATCTCTTCTCTAGCCAGTGCCGCGCCCGTTTAGCCCCCTCGATCCGGCCGAACAAAAGCTGTTTCGGCATGCGGTGGCTGGGCATGCGGGCTACATGACCCAGCCATCGCAGCCTTGCCCGCCGGAGGAGCTCACCGATGGGACCTTGCCCAGATCTTTCAAGGATTTGTGAGCTCCTCACACAATCGAGTCTGGTTAAACCCAGGATGGATCGTAGGTAGGCCAGCCTAAATGTTTCTAACCGGCGAAGATGTTCCATTAGGGGGGTCCACGTTTTGCAAGCGTAGAGAAGGGAGGGAATGACCGTGGCCGCGAAGACCTGAAGCTTAGTGCGGAGCAACAGACCAGGTAGCTTCCACACAGCGTTACGCAACCGATGAAAAGATATTGCCGCTAGACTTATTCGGAGT